TAAATTAGTTAAAGATTTGGAGAATTCAAAAAAGTGAACTATAGGAAAATGCTCAGAACATCGATGTTTTGCCATAAACACCAATGTTTTCAGGTTTGACTTTCCTTTAAAATGTATAACGATCATGAGAACATTGATGTTTTGAAGGGTACATCGATGTTTGGGTTGTTGACTTTCAAAAATGGAAAGATTTGATCTTTAAGACCCCAAGGGTCAGTTGATAACATCGATGTTCACCATTGAACATCGTTGTTCAAAAACCTACTGCAAAAAACTGATGTGTGCCAACCTGGCCAAAACATGATAGTTATGGTTTTGGTGGGGCAAAGTGCAAGTATGAAAATCATGATTTTCATACATATGAAAAATGACTTAAGTTGAGTCAAAAGCCAATATAACTTAAACTTTGCTCTTACATTAAGTTCTACCTAAAGACCTATGTCTTGGGGTCTTCGGTCTTAACTCTTGAGCACTTCTTTGATTGTCTTCATATCCTTGGCATAATCTTCACTTCAATCACAAATTCTTTGTTATCACTACATGCTTTTCTTCATTGTTTGTCAATCAAAACATCTTGACTTCATTTTTTGTCATTCATCAGAACCTACACATGGAAATCATGCTAAAATACCAATGCACATATTAATGATTTGTACATGAGTTCCAACAACCCCCAACTCCTTCCGTTGTTTTTTCCTTTTATAAAGGCACATTGTATGCCTCTAGGGATGTAAATGGATAATATCCGTTTCAAATATACTCTAACCGTATCCACACCCGTTTAGTAAAACCGATATTAGAATCTGCATCGGTATCCGATGGATTTTCACATACTGAGTCTGAATCCAAATTTGGTGGATTTTTTCCGAATTCGATTTAAAATCTTAAACCAATAAAAAAAATCTAAATCCCTATCCGAATTTGTCAACAAAAAACTTCCATATATGGAAATATTGACATTTTTTATGTGGGTCTAAATTTCATAAAAAATTATTAAAAACTTGAATATAAACACATAAGAAGTTATTAACAAATTCAACACTATTAAAATACCGACTTTTTTATTTGGGTCTAAATTTCAATCTTAAATGCTCTAATATATCATCTCCAAAACAAGGAAAAATTATCCTAAATAATTCCAACTTTACCTGGTCTTTCAAAACTAATCCCTCCTTTCATTGTAATTCATAATAATACTAACTTTACTGAAATTTGTGAGCTTTGGTTCGTCGTTAAAAGTCTAATAGAGAATTAACGGAAATGCCTGTTTTGCGCAACAAAATGAAAATTAGGATTATTTTTGATGAATTTTCATTTTTTTTGAAATTTTCATTTAAATTTTTAAAATTACTTTTTACCTCCATTTCTTTTTCCTTTTTTAAAGATTAGTCTTACTTTGAAAAAATTAAAATAATATATATATAAAATAACAAAAATGAGAAAAGTAACTAAAATGATACAAAATTAATAAAATAAATAAGGTAATCAATAGAAACTAACTTGAAATTGGTAAAAAAATAAAATAAAAATATACGGATTGGCGGATTTAATATTTTACGCACTATAAAGATATTTTTTAGGAAAAAATTATTTAGAATAATTCCAACTTTACCATACATCTTTTTCGTTTAAAAAATAAGTTGTACATTAAGACTACGTATAATGTGTAAAATGTTAATCGGATATGGATAATATTCGTTTAAAATGGAGTCTACCATTACCAAAACCGCATTCGTTTATCAATCAGATATCATGAATCGAATATGGATAATATTCGTTTAAAATGGATGTGGATTTTTCTTGTAACTGATACGGATACAGACGGTAATCGATTTTTTGGTTATCCATTTGCACCCCTAGCCTCTTCTTTAAATGAATTTAAATTATATTCTGGTGAGACTTTTTTGAGTCAAATTAATTGAACTTTGGATATTGTTTAATTAAAAATGATAATATATATTAATATTAAAAAAAGACTTCATTAGATTTCTTCTGTTGTGAACTTTTAAATTTTGATTTCATTGTATTAATATTCAAAATAAATTGAAATTAATTGATGACTAAAATTCATCTAGTTTGACTCAAAAAAATTAAATTGGATGAATATGTTGGGACGAAAAAAATATAAAATCATGAAAAATTTTGAAAAATGCGATGGCATTTTTATAAATAGGTTAACCTTTGTAAGCATTGGCAAAAAATACATTGCCACAAGTGTAATGTGCTTCATGATACGAGGTTAACGGACTTCCCACCCAGTGTTGTAGCGGACTTAGGTGGGGTTGACGAGTTCTAGTGACACGAGGTAGGGGTGGGTTCGGTTTTCACTCAAAACCAAAGACAAAACGGAAGATAAGTTGGCGGTTCGATTCGGTTTTGCATAAATAATATATGTAAACCGTTGTTATTCGGTTTGGTTTTAAACGGTTTTAATTTCGTTTTTTTTTGTTTTTCGGTTTATAAAAACACTAACTCGATGAATCAATAACAACATGTAGTGTTGGGTTTGGTTTTTTTGTTTTGATTTTTACACAAAAACAAAAACCAAATGGAAGATTATTGTTCCGTTCGGTTCAATTTTACATAAAAAATGTGTTGAGTGCCCAACAAACATTTTGGAGATTCCAAATACTTCCAAAGACATCGTATGTCTAATCAATTACGAAAAATTTGTATTGTTTGGTATAATATTTTCATTTTCATTATAACATCAAAGTATTTTTTTATGTAAATATGTAAATTACTCGTATCAATTTTTAACGTTAATATAATTCTATATCATGATCAGCTATTGGTGTTTATATTCTTAGGATTTTTTAATGTTTATAATAATATGGCTAAAATATTTAATTAATAGTTAAGAAGATAATTTTAATCGACTAGTAATTTAATTGCATTTATATTTATATGATTTTTCCACATAACACATATACTCATATAAATAAAGTGAAGTATCTAAGAAAGTTCGGTTTATTCGATTTGGTTCGATTTTTTCAAAGTGAAAACCAAAACGGAACCAAATACTAACGGTTCGGTTTTTTTACATTCGGTTTTGATTTTTTCGATTCGGTTTTTTTACATTCGGTTTTGATTTTTTTCGGTTCGGTTTGCAGTTTTCGGTTTTCCCAACCCAGCCCTAACACGAGGTTAACAGACTTCCCGCCCACTGTTGTAGCGAGTTCCATACAAACACACATTTAGTGTATTAATTTATAAGCTGTTTATAAGTTAGACATTTTTTCCTAGAAGTAAAATGATTTAAATGATAACCATGTCATTTGAAATATTTATAATTGGCGAGGGATAATTTTGTAAATAATATGGTTAAAATGGAGAAACAAAAAAACTGACTTAAAAATACTTATAGGCCGCTTATAAGTCAGTTTGTAAATACAGAGAAATACGTCATCAGCTAACTTATAAGTTAAAACTTATAAGGAGTTTTGATCAGCTTATAAACACAGAAAAATACCCAATATACATACTATCTCCGTTTTTAAATTAAAGTTGCATTGTCCGTTGTCAACATTTTAAAATTAAAGTCAAACATCTCACATTTTCTTTTTAAGAAAAAATACAAGGTATGTGGCTTATAATAACTTTATTCTAAAAAAACTTCTACCCATTCTTTTTTTTTAAATTTTACAACCTTTTTTTGAAATTATATGAAGTAAAAGAATGACTTTAATTAACTATTTCACCTCTTATTTTAAAGAGGATATAATATAGTTTTTACCTACTCCAGTCTCCTGGTGTATAATTATGAATGAATTCTATAATTGGTCTTTTAAAATAGAAGTTCATATTTAATCTTTTACTAAAAAAATATTACATTTATGCACACCTTTCAACTCTTTTTTTCTTCTGTCATGTTAATATTAAATTGAAGGCCAAAAGTATAATTTTTAATTCTGAAATATTATATCATTATTTATATAAATTAAATTAAAAATAAATTCAGTCAGTTCTCATTATCCAAAATAAGATGATAATTTTAGGACGGGAATATTATTCTAAAATCTGAAGTCAAAATATTTATGTGAGTAGAAAATGAGGATCGAATTAAATCGTGAGGTATTAATGAATTACTTAAAATTATTGTTAATAACACTATTGATCCGTAAGGGAATAAGAAGGAAATTTTGACAATAAAATTAATGGTCATTAAGTTGTATAACAAAGAAATAACATCAAATTTTTTTACACTTGTTTTTGATGTCGTAATATGACACCAAAGCCCTACAATGCTCCATAGAGTGTGAGACCGAATTCTCCTCTCGGCCCTAGCCTCTGTAGCCCTGCCAACTCATCTACACTTCTCCAAATGCGTGGCGAGGCAATGGTTTTCAACCTGGCTTTCGAGCCATCTACGAGCCACGTTTTTTATATCTTTTCTTTTTTTTAAATTTTTTTATTTTTTTGTACAAGAAAAAAGCTTTTTAATAAAGGAGTATGTACATCTAATTTTTGTAAAAAAAATTAAATTATTTTTTGATAATTATTCCCTCCATCTCAATTTAAATTACTTGTTTCAATTTACAATGTTTGATTAAAATTATTTTCAAATAATTTTATATAAAAAATAATGTATAATTAAAAAATAAAAATTACATATCTAAAAACTATATGAAAAAATCTTCAAAACTAGCAATGACATTACTATATTATTTTATTAAATGACTAACGAAAATAAGAAAAAAAACTGAATAAAATTTGACCATGTGAATAGTGAACAAATAATTTAATTTGGAACAAAAAAGAAATACACATCAAAAAAATTCAAAAAATATCAAAAACAATAACTTGCCACTGCATGACTTATCACGCCACTCACTGGCTAGACTATTTTTGATTGTTTGAGATTTTCCACATCACCTTGTGACATTTCATTTTTACCTCACCATTGTACATGCTCTAATGTTTAGGGTCAAAAGAATCACACCCAAAGTAAAATGCAAAAATAAAAATCGGAGGGTAATACATTAATTGAGTTCTTGTTAAAATAGTTTTCACACGCCACCTTTTTCCATTCATTACTTACAAATATTCAAGCTGTTAGCAATCATTATGTAAATATACTTCAGCTTCTGATATCCGTTGATCAGTCGAACAACACATGTATATCAACAAATAAGAAGAAAACAACAAACACTTTGCCACCATACAGAACGACGCCTAACTCAGCACATTTCATACACAATCTATTGCAGGTGATTACCAAGCACGCTTAGACTCCGGCGCTAGCATGTTAAGAAAATTAAGCAGTTAAGGTTGCTTAAACACCGGCACTATTATGTCCAAGAAAATTAAGCAGTAACCGCGTGTCTGCTCAGCCTTTTTCCTTCCATCGCGTCTTTCTTCCTACGACAATTTGAACACAAGAATGGGCCTTCCCATGGCTTTGATGCAGGGGAGAAAAAGGGTCCGGAATTTACAGACAAACCATCGCTTGGTGGCTGATCTGCTTGGCAAACTGCACATCTGAAGAGACCAGAGCTTGGGTCGAGAGGAAAATCCTTACCCAACCTGCAAAGTTCAAGTAAATCACAAATGCAAGCAGCACACCGTTGTGAGTAGAAAATAGGAAGCAAACTTAGACTAACAGAAAATAAGATTCGTAAATTGCAAGGATATCGTAGAAGATTTGTATTTTGAGAAGATTCATCAATTGCAAGGAAATAGTAAAAGATTTGCAGACATAACATTTGACTGGAAGATTTGCGTTATCCCTGCCGAACTTGAAAGCCACTGGAAATGGTAATTGGTTCATAATTCTGCTTTCAAGTTGCTAAATTAATATTTTCAAACCAACTTGCAGAAAGTGGTTGCTTTAGCGCTTTTTTTCCAACAAGAGGAAGCGAGTGCAGCACTTTGCGATCATCTCGACTGGTTTATGACTCACTCCGTCATCATTGCCTCATTCCGACAAAGAGGCAAAGAGCAGGGCATTTACCAGTTTTTCTTCCTTTAACTTCCCCTGCTATTTAGGTCCTCTTCTATGATTCTTCGTCCATTATTTAAGGGATGTCCTTTTTTGGGAGGAAAAAAGGACAATGATAAAAATGAATGTCAAATACATATAGTGCACCGGTTAGAAGACAGATACAAATAAGACGTAGTGATGCTCGGTTGGAAGGTGTGAGGGGTAGAGAAATGAATTTTGCAAACAAGGAAGATGGAGACCAAAAAAGGTCTTGGGAGGAGGTGATAAAGGGTGAAATGTTTTATCTGAATTTAGACAAGAGTGTGGCAGTGTGCTATGGATAAAAATGGTGAGGGGGCATCTTTGTTGTTAATGACCAAACAATTGATAGAACTCGAGATTGGTGTGAAAAATAAATGAAGGATAGTGTTTATGAAATTATGAAATCAGGATCTAACTTCATAAATAATAAAGATGAAGGAAAGTATTTATCAAAATATGAGGAAGAATCTTTAACTCCTATAATTAATAAAGCTAAGGAGAATCTCCAATAATAAATATTGAATTACTTTCATGATAACTTTTACAAATAATCAGCCTCAATATTTATTGAAGCCAAATAACTACCAATCCCTAGAATTAAAGCCCACTACCACATTACCTAGTAAGTACTCCTAGACTTTAGGCTCACTACCCTATTACTTGGCAACTACTCCTAGAATTTAGGCCCACTTACACATTATTTACTAAGTAACTAACATATATAAAATAAAACATTTGACCTCATAAACAAATGACCCTAACTGACTGTATTATAATTATTAATAACATATAACGATTAACAGCATATGTGGCACTCTATCAACAATCAGACATGATTGTGCTCTTGGTTCATGTAGCAAACCCAAAGGTACTCGGGGTAAGGCTTAACAGTGGTTGTATGTTACACATAGTTAGTGCCAACAAACATGTTATTCCCTTCATTGATAAGAGCAGAATAAACAAGCCATATGCAATGTAGAGTTGGCCTGCAGAACCCAACTCTATGTCGTGGACGTCTTATCTATCCGCCTCGCCCAGAAACCTTTGAAGCGTTAATGCGCTCGCCTAGACATCGCCTTACCCTCGTCTTGGTCGCCTATGCGCCAGTCCTGGGTAGTTTTTTAAATTTTGAAAGCCAAATTTTAAAATGTTTTGACTTAACGTTGCCTTGTCTCTTGAGTCTAAATGATGATGAGTATCTTGAAGATGACTATGGTGTTGACTTATTTAGTGTCCATGATGAGTCTATGGATATAGATATTGATATCCATATACGTGTAGACTTTAATTACATATGTTGTGCCATATATCTATTTGTGGTTATATTATGTGTGTGCACCTTCTAGGCGATATGAAGGTACATCGACGCCTCGCCTTGGAGCCTTAGCAACCTTGCCAGTTGCCAAGGATACAAAGCAAACAACAAAGAATGCATCAATTACCACCTAGCCTGAAATGCCTACCCAACTACCCTTATCCTACCATTGTCACCTAAATCGCGGTACATTCTAAAATGGGTACGCGGTTTGGGTACAAATTTTGCTAGAGGTGACGAATTCGGTACGAAGGGGGGCAGGTTCATTTCAGTAAGTAGCAGTACAATGTACCATGTATTTGGTTTGGTGTATCAAAAGTCAAAACATAAGTAAACAAAATTTCTATAGATAACTGTAAAAAAAGGTTAGTAGAAAAATATGGCAAAAAAGACATTAGAAGCAACCTAAGCCCAATAAGAATTTGAGCCCAAAAGAGAAAATAGAAGCTATTGAGCTTTTTATTATAGGCAATAGCGTGCTTAAAACTTAAATAAAAAAAGAGCGGTAGCGAAGAAGACTAGAAGTAGAGAGTCACTTGCGTCAAAATTGAAAGTCTAAGGGTTGGGTCGTTTCTTCTTACTTTCTTTTTCGGAAATTGTTTTCGACAATCGCGATCCCAGCAGCAGATTCAGACAATCTCTATTCCCAATCTCTCTCGCAATTTGAATCGACTCCATGCAATAGTACGATTGAATCGATAGCCCTAGTTTGATCTGATCCGGATCGTGATTTTGGAAGGCCGTACCGCGGACGTTTGGATCGCAATCGAATTGCGATTGGGTACTACGCGTACCAATACGGAAGATGCGGCTATAGCAGCGAATTCTGTGACTATGCATCCTACCTTTCCAAACACTCATATCTAAGGCCATGAAGTCCTATGTATCTACCCCTACCCTACTCCCGCCCACCAATGTAAGCCTCTCACATCTCTGCATTGGGGTCTTAGCACTTTGCCGTCTCACATGTCCAAACCACCTCAACCTAACCATTGATGCTCGCCCACCCGTCCATGGATAACCTCGTTTCGAGTCCTATCCATGATTGCTCATATGACGTAACATTCGCATCTCAGCTAGATGCAACTGGTGAACATGGGTTTTCTTAACTAACCAGCACTTTGCACCATACAGCATAGCGTATCTGATCACAGAACGATAGAACTTACCTTTCATCTTAGCCAAAATCTTCTTATCGCACATCAACCCTAAAGCGAACCTTTACTTAGCCCAAGCCGCTCCAACACGATGCACAACATCCATGTCCATCTCCCCATCTGCCTGAATGACTGAGCTAAGATACCGAATCTTGTCTACCTTGGTATTGGGTGAGAGTCAATCCTTACCTGCACTTCTGATTCCGTCTCCCGACCACTAAAAACACATTCCAAGTACTAAGTCTTGGTCCTACTCAACTTTAAATCTTTTGGATTTTAGTGAAAGGTGGTGCCAAAGTGTCATTTAGCCTCTCGCAGGTGTCATCGATAAGCACAATATTGTCAGCAAAAAGCATGCATCATGGGACCTCCCCGTGGACTCGCCACGTTATAGGGCATCCATCACCACGACAAACAACAATGGGCTTAGGGCACACCCTTGGTGTAACCCCACTTGTACGGGGAAAGGCTCGGAGTCACCGGCGACAGTCTTTACCCTAGTCATTGCCCCATTGTACATATCTCTGACTGGCCTGCACGAACGTAAACAAGCGGAACCCCTCTCGAATCACGGCTCTCCACAAGACCTTTCTCGGCACTCTATCGTACACCTTCTATAAGTCAATAAACACCATATGAAGATCTTTTTTCTTATCCCTACACTCTTCCATCAACCTCTGTAGGAGGTTAATGGCCTTTGTGGTCGATATGTCACGCATGAAACCAAACTAGTCATCCAAAATGCACACCCCCTTCCTCAACCTATAGTCAGTTATACGCTCAACTTTCATGGAGTGCAAAGAGCAATGAATATATATCCATTTGAGGGAAATTTGAGTTATTACGAACTAGAGAGAACTTGAATTCTAAAAACTTTCTCTTTGGTCCATATTTCATATTTCATACAACATTTGAACCTTTAAAATTAAAATGGCTATTTGTCATCACATTAAGACAACTAGCCTAGAGAAATTACTACTAGCGAACTTTGCATATCAGAGAAACAAAGGTCAATGCTAATAATAATAATAATAATAATAATAATAATAATAATAATAATAATACAGGAATTAGAAAGGAAGTTACAGGTTATTAAGTAAATTTAAATAAAAAAAGGAAACAAAAGAAAAAAAGGAAGGAAAAAAGGGGAAGAAAGTTAGGGAGACTGTAAATCCAAACAGATTGGAAACTCGAAAAATGAAACCCACTCCCACACGTTACAAAGCAATTTTAAAAAACAAGAAAAAAGGAAATACCCAATATAAAAAATACTACATAAAAAAGAGAAAAAAAGAGAGGAGAGCAAACGACACCTGCGGAGGACCAGATCTTGCGGCCCGATCCAACCTGCTGTATTTTTCCCAGGGTCGGATTGCTTAGGTCTAGCGATCCTAAGCGTCGCTGGTTTTATCCAAGTCGATCCGCTCGCCTATTGCTCCAGGTTGCCGCAAAAAACACTTCTGCATTGCTCCAAACGCAGAGCGCAGATGGCACACGCTTCTCGCCAGAAACACAGGCAACAATAGCGACCGCCTCTGGCGCGCCTCAGGTAAAACGCTTTGCCACAGTGAGCAATGGCGGAAACACCTTGCTAGAGCGCCTTTGGCACCATAGGCGTTAATGGCGAGCGCCATTCACAACTATGGTTAAAATACATAACCCATATTTAGGCAGACCGAGCCCTATAACATTTTAATCATGAAAGCAGAGGAATCCATGAAACCCTCAACCTTTGTACCTTCGGGATACAAATACAGTGCAAACACAAAAAACAAACAGCCCATTATGATCCCACAAAAGTAGGGTCTAGGGAGGGTGTGTGTACGCAGACCTTACCTCCACTTAAAAGTAGATACAAATACAGTTCATATCATGTATATCAAGCATATCAATACAGTGCACATATCATGTACCTCTCTGCAAGCATTGCGGATCCCTCTTCAAACAATTCCTCAACAACACCAACTGCAGAGAGTTTATTTGACCTGGAATTGTGCGATCGTCTCCCAAATATGAATGAACTAATCAGATTTTGCTTCTTCATAGGTGTTGGAGGTAAGACAGGACGGTCATTTGGAATAATATCAACAACCAAGCAAGTTGTGTCATCTTTCAAGCCCCGTGTCCTTAGAGCCTCCTGAGACCAGACATTGAAGAATTAGTGAAACCCTCAAAGATTTAAGTATGTAACAGAGTATAAAAATGTGTACCTTAACAACCAGCCTTGCAGCAAGTTCTGCAGGTAAACCTCGGCAAGACTGAGCAGCCAAATCAGATGATAAAGCATCCCATATGCCATCAGAGGCAATTATAAGCCGTCCACCAGCACTAGAAAGCTAGTGAAAAATAAAGAAGACTTTAGAACTTAAAGCTTGCACAGCGAAACAACATTGAGGAGCAAAATTCATTCAAGAAATATAAACCTTCACTTGCTTAACATGAGGTATAGGGACAATAAACTCTCCAACATCTGTATCACCTATTGACCTTGAAAGGCACAACCCACCGGGCCAACAGCGGAGTGGACCAACCTACAAAGTACAAACATGAAGTTAGTATTCATACATGATACACATGTCAGAAAATATTTCCGAACTTGTAACAAAATTCAAGCCTATTACCTCATTACCACCAAAGACATTGAGCCTCCCAACTTCACCACCACTTGCAGTGACACGTTCCCGTTCTTCCTCATTTTCTTCCAACCTATGGTCAACAGTCAAAAGTGAAACAACCCCTCCTTGTGTGTCCAGTATGCATCGGGAATCTCCAACAGATGCAACAGTCACAGTCCACTCATCAATCACGACAAATGTTACAGTTGTGCCTGATGTCTCGCCTGTTAATTCAAAAATGGAAACATGAGCGTGAAATGGTATAATAGAATGAAATTCAGACCCAGCAAGAGATTATATCCATAAAGGAAATTCAGCACTCACCTTTCTGCTGAAATTCTATATCGGTTTTTACAAAACCAGCAACTAGTGCTCGAGGAAGGGCTTGAAGCCACTCTTCCCTGCCAAGTCCTTGGGGAATAGCGCTGAGTACATTGTTAAGCAGATTCTCTTTTGCAAATATAGCAGCTGATATACCATTGTGTCCATCAAAGATCTACCAGAAGAACACAGATTCAGAAAACACAGAACCAAGCATACTCGGTAACTGTGATAGTTTGATGACAACTAATATAACAAAACTAACTCAGTTACCGCGAAAACCGAAAATGTGGTCAACAAACTGCCAGAAGTCCTCTGGCACTCAGGCTTAATTAGAAAATAGTCTTCCCCTTTCTTAGCTAGAGCTGCCTGACCATGCTTCACTGTGGGCTTCTCTGCCTTGCCTTTGTTCCTGAGTTCGCGACCAATTAGAGTCGCCAGGGGCACAGAAACAGGTGTTGGCTTTTGTTTTGACACAGTTATCTCTGCCCCACTCATGTCATTCCTCTATCTTTCAATATATTCCAATTCTTAGTTGAAGCCCTGATTCCAAAAAACCCAAAAAAACTGTAAAAAGTTAAGCCCCATCACTCTTTACACTCTATTGTACTCATTGATCTACGGATAATTCTATCCATTCCGCGCGCATTACAAAACTAGCAACAATTATTACCCCAATGTCCACAAGAATTCCCAGAAATGAGCACAAAAACTCAATTTCCACCAAAGTCAAAACTTACAAAGTTATTAAAAAATGGCTTATCAGTGAGTGCATACACACACACACACAAGTATACCAAGAGGAAGAGAGAGGAAATAACATCTTACCAATAAAACTAGGAGATGAATCGACAGGAGCTGCGCGTTGTAATTATGAAAAAGCATATATAAATATATTCAGAAAAAAGGAGTATTTGTAAAGGATCGCCGAAGATTTGGTTCAGGGGTGAGCTGGATTGGATAGCATTGTTGACATTGAAACCCTAGTGAGAAAGAAAGTTTAGTGGGAGATCGGCTGCGGAGCTATATTTCCACCACTTGATTGGCGACGAAAAACCACAAGACTACAGAGGGGGGAGAGTCACAACTCACTCACATGTGTAGTACAGGCCATTCCTTTTAAAATTGGTTTGCCCGTATTTGTGGATCATTTGTAGGGGCTTCTCCTTTTTTTTAAGTAGTAACTATCTAAGACCAACTACCGTAAGAATGTGGGGGTGTTTATTCATGATGAGGCCGGTGAGCGTTGTACAGTTGACAAGACAAAGAGTGTCAAGAGGATAACACAGACTACAGAGAGGAAGAGTCACAACTCACATGTGTAGTACAGGCCATTGCTTTTAAAATTGGTTCGCCCGTATTTGTGGATCATTTTAGGGGCTTCTCCTTTTTACGTAGTAACTATCTAAGACCAACCACTATAAGAATGTGGGGGTGTTTATTCATGACGAGGCCGGTGAACGTTGTACAGTTGACAAGACAAAGAGTGTCAAGAGGATAACACAGAGTTTGATTCTTGGTAATTGCGCTGGGAGGCAACTCTCAAGTACCAGGTGTAGGATTCACTCCTTGCCGCCAATTTGCGATTAAAGTTTATTTTACTTCCTCTCAGGCTGGCCAGGTTTGAGGGAGCCCTCGGGCAGGCCCGCCCAACAGGGTGTGCATGATGTTCATTTGAACATGGCCCCTTAGTTTGGAGGCCCATTTTTTAAATACTACAAACTCGAGTAGATTTAATTTGTAATTTTAACCCAATACTGTGTGAGAGTTCAATTCCTTCTTCATTCTGGATTCTTCTTCTCCATCTCAATCCTTCAGTGGCACGACTCTTGGGTTCCTCCTCCCTCTTGATTTATCACCTTTATTATGGCTTCCTCCTCCCTCTTGAATTATCACCTTTATTCTGGATTCTTCTTCTCCATCTCAAATTTTGATCCTTTCTTCTTCTTTTTTTCTTTTTTTCTTTTTTTTTCTAAATGAAAAAATCTCCCGATATAATTTTTACACTCTTTTTTTAAAGTACAGAATATATATATATAAATATAATTATAAACCCTATATAGTCCTTATGAAGCAACAGGAGCATTAAAGTCCTCCACCCTCTTGAATTATCACATTTATTATGGCCAAAATTATGAAGCAACAGAAGCCTTAAAGTCCTTATAATGGTTTTGATGGCTTGAATTCCTTCTTGTGGCACTTGAGAACTCAAGCCATCAAAACCATCATAAGGACTTTAAGGCTTCTGTTGCTTCATAGTTTTGGCGAATTTATGATTTCATTCTTTCTTTTTTTTCGATCTTTTTAGGGTTAGATTTACTTGTTTCAAATTTTTCTAATTTTTATACTTCGTAGTCTAATTAATAGAATATGTTTTGATTTTTTCCAACTTTTATTTTATATTTTTCCTAAATTTTTCAATTTTTATCCAATCCGTGATTGATTTTCTTCATCATTGATTTCAATTTTCCAATTTTTCTTCAATTACAAGATTTCACTCGTTTACAAGTCTTTAACAATGTGTCAAATAGATGAACTTTTATTTCATCATTCGTATTCGTAGGATACATCTTTAACTAGTTTATATTTTCATTAAAAATAAACACGTTTGTTCTTAATGTTCTGTTTTATTCATCTTCACTTTGTTAAATATATTAAGTATATATTTAGTATCTTTTGTATATAGTAGTTTCCATACATGTATAGTCTTTATTAATTAAGGATTCCTAACATAGTAGGTTTCCTAACATAACTATGAAATCTATACTATATAATCTCTTGTATCCACACATTATTATTCATTGGAAAATATCAATTCTTCATGGTATCAAAGCCTTAATTTTCTCATGGTTCCCTCTCTCTCTTTTGGCTCTCTCTCCCTCACGGCAGTCTCTCTCTCTCTGCCAAATCTCTCTCCCTCTCTCGGCCTTCTCCTTCATCACCAACAATCACCATGGCCGAAGTCTCCTCTAATAATACCAGCACCTCCAAATCTCCCCACCTTGCCTTTACAACAATCTCAAACATCAAACTCCACATTCCCGTTCAACTCAGCATCTCGGAGCCGAACTACAAAAAGTGGAGTTGACTCTTTCGCCTCCTCATTCTTCGCTTCAATCTCATGGGATTTCTTGACGCCACTATCATCACCAAATCTGTTGACGATGCCGAGTGGTACCAATTTGATGCCCTTCTCCAAGGATGGATTTTGTCTACTGTTTCGGATGAGGTCTCCGATCTCGTCCTTGCGAGCAGTCCCACCGCCTATGCCTTATGGAAGGCTATCTACAATTATTCCATGACAACAAACATGCCCAAGCAATGCAATTAGAGCATCGATTCCGTACAACCGTCAAGTGGACCAAGACAATCATTGAATATTGTCATGCTCTTAAAAACTTAGCTGACTATCTTGACGATGTGGATGCTCCGGTGACCGAACACGCTCTTGTTCTACAGGTTCTTTAAGCCTTACCGCATGACATCCGGGATCAAGTTCATTTTTTGCAGTATCAAAACCCGTTCCCGACGTTCTTGGAAGTCCGATCGGCCCTCCTCCTGGTCGAACAACACCAGCCGACGCCCTCCTCAATGCCGGCCCATCCACCGCCCTTCTTAGCTTCGGCGACGGCGGCAGTCACACGGCAGGTGGGGGTCAGCCACGGCAGGGTAGCAGCGGGTAGAAATCCAGGCGGGGCAGTTTCGGCGTATCAAATCGGGGCAAATCTGGTGGCTATCGAGGGTGCGGCCGTGGACGTGGACATAGCGGCCCGAATCAACGACTCAGTTTCTCTATGTATAGTCCTTATTATGTAAGGATTCCTAACATAGTAGGTTTCCTAACATAACTAGGAAATCTCTACTATATAATCTCTTGTATCCACACATTATTATTCATTAGAAAATATCAATTCTTCATGTTCTTAACAATTAAAGTTTTTATTTCATCATTAAACATAGGATTTATCACATAAATATTTACTTTTATGTGTCTGTCTATCAAGTAGTAGATACCAATGGTTTCAACCTAGCATATCCCTTTTTCATTGTATTCTAGTATGTTTGTAAATGTACTTTACCTTCTATTGAAAAATTTTAAAGTTTATTTTATTAAATGAAATAACCGATACGTTAGTGTTAGCACTTTGGTTTATCACAAATTCTGTTTTAACAAAAAAATGAGGCATAAAGTATTTAATTGCACAAGGTCGTTTTGAATGATTGGGCGAGTCTGCCCTCGGGGATGGGTCTATTTATAAACTGTTTATTTTAGTACATTTTGGAAAATGTCTTAAATGAGCGGTGAGTCACTTTGAAATATTCATAAAAGCTCATGGATAGTTTTATACTAATTGGTTTAGAGCTTGTTTGAGAATAGCGTTAGAGATTATCGTTAGCATTTTGAATAAAATTTTAATGGTGCAGATAGTCTTTTCAAAACGCTAACGCTAATCTCTAATGCTATTCCAAAAAAGTGTCTTAGTCAAAATAGTGAAACGAAAAAAATTAGCTCAAAAATAAATATGTAAGACATATTTATTTTCTTGAGCTTATAGATATATTATAAGTCAGATTTTAAGCACAGAAAAATATTTTATCAACTGACTTATAAGTTAAAATTTGTTTATAAGCAGTTTTAATCAACTTATAAGAACAAAGAAACACCTACTATATCACTCCAGTTTTTATATCAAATGTTCCTTTCGCCCCAAGCAAATTTTTCTTGTTTCAAATAACATGTAAATTCTAATTTATTTTAAAATGATTTTTAAAAAAATTGGTATATAAAAAAAGTAGAATGAATTTCTAAAATAGTTATTTTTAATAAGGTATTTGGTTCGTAGTATAAAACAGGCAAAAATTACAACTAAAAAGAACCCTTGTAAGTAGGGTGTCGAAGCTTAGGGAGACGTGAGTTAATTTAATTTAAACAAAAGTTTACAAAAGAAGTTGTAAAATATTTTTGGTCTTTTTGGTTTTAGAGATAAAATAAAAAGTGTAAAAGAAGAGAGTTCCAAACAACACAAAGTTATTTATGATGAAAGTTAGGGGTAGAAATTGGTAAATTAATTGCTCAATGTTTTTATAAAAGTTATATTGCCAATTTATTGCAAGAAATCACCCTACGTAGCACTCTAACTCACCCAATATTACATATTTAGCACTATTCATTGTTTTTAACAAACTTAGCTATTTATGGTGTCAATCCGTTCATATCATACCCTTTACCCTTTTATTATAATTTAGTCTTTTTTAATTTATTTCATTAAAATTAGGTTATTCAAAGAGTTCATTTACCGCACGTTATTGTCGTCCGACTCCTCCTACGCCAGATACGGTACTTGCGAAATTAAACGAAGCTATTGTTGAATCTACTGCCAATCTTTTCCATTGCCAAACTCACAAATTCAATCCACTACCAAACACTTAAATTCACTGCCAAATTTAAAAAAAAAAACTCAATGCACTGCAAAACTCACGAATTCACTGCCAAATTAAACGAAGCTATTTCCAAATCCAGTGCCAAATTAAACAATTTCACTGCCAAATTAAACTAAGCATACATGTATCTTCTCTAATCTTTTGCTAAGAGGAATCTCCTCCAGCACATCATAATTATTTTATTGTATAATTACCCAATTTAATGGTGTTAAAATGCAACTGAATAATTATGTCGACCTAAAAGTCTTTAATCCTGATTGAAGGTAAAGAAGGCTTACAATAGATTTAAAAAGTGTTCTATTTTATTATTACTAGTATTCTAACCTGTGCAATGCACGGGGTCGAAAGAATTTTATGTCGAATCGGAATTATTTCAATAAAATTTATTTTTCGGTATAAAGAAAATATATTGCTCAAATGATTTTTAATACTACAGATGAAAAAAGCCAAAGTAAAATAAATAATATTTAAAGAACAGAATGTAAAGTTAACAATGTTTATTTTAATACCAAATTTTCTAAAAGACTTCAGGGTATACAACATTTTTGGTATGGTTGCAAGGGTTTCCATTGTCATCTAGAAACAATATCTTTAATCCTGTATTTGTCTTCACTCGTGAAAC